TTTATTACTCCCTATGTCGGTTTTCCATTCCAGGTCTTCCATTCCATTTTCCAGCTGGAGCTAGTTGTAGGGGTCCTCATGATGCGGCCATTCACTCCATCATGTTCCTGACCAGGTTCTCAGCAACGCCGACGAGGCCATCTGTCATAGCATTTTTGCTTTCTTCCAAAATTAAGTATCGATCTTGATATAGGACTGAGCTTCCCACTTCCTGCCGTTTTGCCTGCCATCCATAACTCGGATTAGGCCCTAGCTGTTCGAATTGTGTTTTTCGTTCTGACTCTCTTAGGAGTAACTCTTTTTTTTCCTCAATAGAACTGAACATAAATTCAGCCATTACCTTCGATTCCTTGTGTGGAACTTCCACCTGTTTATGTCTTCATAGAGCAGTGATAATCCTTCAATGGAACCGGTTTGAAGGCGGTTCAATTGCACGTAAACTTGCTGATTTGTCAACTTTACTGTGCAAAGTGCCGGTCGTTAACGGGGTGAACTTGCTGTCGATTGTACTTGGGCGATTCTTTTGAGGAACTCTTTCGGTCCCTCACAATTCATGGTGAAGGCTGCATGCACTTCCTATTCAATCCAGTACATATCNCTATTTTTAAACGGAGACCAGGGGTTTTCATGGTGAGAACCGGCCTCTCTGCTCAAAAATGAGTTATTTTCTGCTTCTCCTTACAGTTATCCTCTTCAGAAATTCACCAGCCTTTGTCCTCCTTGTTATTGGAGCATTATGGTACCTTAAGAATTATTCCATTAACGGAACAATGGGTGCTACAGCATAGAAATCCAAACTGCCATCATCGGAGCCATTTTGTAAACGATGTATTCATGAGTCATTCAACCGGTAATTTACTAGTCATTTTCTTCACAAGTTTTCATGAGCTGTCAGAGACGTTCAATGGACTGAGAAAGAAGTGGAGGTCATTAGGACAATTGCTTTTTCCGAAAAACTGTAATAATTCAGAACGCGATGTAAAGTACTTAAAATGTTTTTCGTTTGTTAATGATCGTTTCCACTTATTTTCACTGTAAGTTCTTATTCAAGCTCACAACTAAGATGAGCAGTGTGAATTGTCTTCACGCTATGAAAAAGGAGGGTCGAACAGAAGGCCAACGCTAATTTGAAAATCGCAATCGCTCCTTGGCCAAATCAAATGAAGGTTATGAATGGATGCAAAAGTTTCTGGCTTCTTTCACTTGCATATTGTAATGGTTCCTTCAAGTAATAAGGCAATAAAGGGTCCAGGCCAGCGCGTTTCCCGGGTGGTCAGAAAACCTTCCTTTATTCCTATTCATGAATCGAATCATACTTCGGCTTTTTACTTTTTGAGGTTGCCGAAATTTTGCCGGGTTCTGCTCTTTGGGCAATAGAGTAATTGTGTTGACTCAGGCGTCGGCTAGTTTGGTCCAGCAAATTAACTTGGTGTCCAAAATCGAGCACAAGGTCCTCTGTAAGTCGGGTTCGGAGCAAGGTCCTAGAAGATGAGCTTGTTCGCAGCGGAGCAGTCATGCAGCAGTTCCATACTTGGCATTCTCAAATGTCTTCCTACCAAATCCTCCAAGTAATTTCCTTCGCTTTCACCATTTGAAACAACATCCGTATCAAGCGTTAATAGAGCAGGTTTACTGTGAGGTGCTTGAACGGCATGAGACAACACTAGAAGGCACGTCTGAATGTCTGAATCACTAAAACATTCGCTTTCCCCTCCCCCCAATGTTCATCAATCGTGCCATGGGTCATTCTGCAACTGCATCAGAATTATACAACCAGCAAAAGTAATGGAAACGACATTGGAAGCCTGCCAAAAAAGCGTTTTTCGTTGACAAAGAGCACATTTTGGCAAAAGGGCATTGCCAATTCAGCAGAAAGATAAGGGAGTATTGCAGTAAAAGAAATGACATTTAAGAGTAAAAAAAAATTTTCTTCTCACTATACTACTTACCGAGTAGTCGGTCACCCTCCTGTTTTCATCCCAGCAAAAACCACTGCAAGGATATTAATCTTTCACGATTTCTTATCAGAGCTCCCTTCGCTGCATGCAAATATGTAGTATCCAATACAGCAACCAGATTTTGTATTTTTCCATTCCCCTCCTTCAAATGCTTTCCAGTCCTGCCATAATTGCCACTTTTTCAACAGAACGCAGATGATCTGTCCCTTCCCTCAACTAATCTGCCAGTCACAATTTATTCTTCAAAAGCCTGCACCTGTTCCATTTCTCATATGGGACATTTTCTACTGAGGATTACGATCGAGTATTAGGCCATGGTCAATGTGAGGTCCCGCGATTTAGCATCGATTGGAATTCTCAACTTTCGGATGAATACGAAACACTTTCTGTAAGAAGTGATGTTAGTACATTTAGGAAGCTACTTTCCTGACACTTGTGAAGACCTCCAAAGAAGTTTATTGCTGTCATTTGCTAGTTCCGGTACATTTGCGACACATGTAGATTCTCAGCAGGTTGAGGTTAAACTACAGAGGGGCTTCTGAAAAACACACATCGCTTAAGCATGCGCTCGTCGAGTTGTATAATTACAACGATTAAGCCCTGAAATCGAGGATAGTTATCTTTTGGCTGGGTGTTTCCCTCCACCTACAGAGTTTCACCTTCGTTCCTACAATTGATTCTAGTTTATATTAGTTTTCGTTGAGCCTGAATTTCGACAACCTATAATATCAGTTTCTCAGAGCTTTCTTCGATTAGAACTCGCCCAGATGTAGCAGATGTAGAAAGGTCTCTTTCCTGATATGGGGCAGCCTCTACAGAAACGCCACTCCAAACTCTCTTGTGGCGTGCAGGGAACGAATTTTCCTCCAGAGTGGCTCGGATCTCTCATACTCATCCCATCTCGTAATATCCTAATGGACAACCCTACAGTTAGAACTATCCGAACCATTTAATGGAAGAACTGTCCTAGAACATCGCTCCGTACCACACTCTCCTCATTTTACCACGTATGCACGTAGTGTGATATCGTCTGCGAAAGTTGGATGATGAATAGTATTGCTGGGATGTGAGAACCTCTCACTGTTCTACTGTCGGGTGTTCCATTTCTTTGTTCTTTTGGCAAGGTTCCCTATATTTTTTTTATTTTTCACACAACAATTTTTATACGACTCCAGAGCTTTGTAAGTTTTACTTAATGTATAGTCCTTGTTTAATTATGCGTTCGACGTCGATTGGTTCTCAGTTGTTTCATCCTGGCAACTGAAAGAACGAACATTTCGATGGTACTCTTCAGTAGCCCTCCTCCTGATTGACCGACGTTCTGTAGTCTCACATTACTTAGTTGTGTTACCACAACACCGTAATACTCACAAGTTCTCGGCTTACGTAACTTACAGTGTTATACGACTATGCTGGAAATTAATTGGTCTAATAATTACTGACTTTGTAACAGTGTGTAGTTTACGCTTTTTAAACTTCCTCTGTAGATTGAAATCTCGTTGCATCGAATGGTTTCTTGAACTGCTTCTGCCTTCGCAGGCTCACAGGACCCGGAGAATGTGAAAGCACCGGAATGTACGCCGAATAAAGTATTGTTAACATCTCGGTTTGAACAGCTGAATAAGTAAAAAGCGAGTTCCAAAACGACAGTTGCTCGAAGAGATGACCATACGTAAATCCTCTGTATACGCCCAAGATGTAGTATGCAAAGCGCAATCCTAATGTTGGATGGGAAAGCCGGAGGCCGTTTTTCTTAGGAGTACAATTGCAAGCGAGTCCTGTGAGGCAAGGGATGCAGCTTCCTTTTTCATTGCGCTTCTTTTTCAGCTTCACTACCGTTTTCCTATATTAAAGAACTACTACGGATAACGAGTGGTGGTTTCGGGTCAAAAGAAAACTCGTTCAGAGTGTCATAAGTGTGCGGCCAGAGCCGCATAGTTTGCATTTTTGTAGTGCTTACGCTTGGATGGTCTTTACTTCTCCTTGATTTGTGATCCATCCAGTTCTACATCGCCCTTGAAGATTGCAATATCTACTCTGATCCTGGATATCTTTTAATCTTTGACGCCTCTGTTCCTCCACTCAGATCCAAGTTTTGACGACAGACGGTCGCACACTGTTGAACTGTAACTTATGACCCTCTCCAAGCAGAGTTTCTTTACTATACTCAATGTCATTACTCTACAAAGACTGTCCCCGTTGACGCAGTGGCTTACTCGGTAGGGCACTGGTTTATAATTGAACTGCACCGTAGAACTAGTTCTTCGTGAGTTGTTTTGATCTTTGTCAGTTGATTCAGGCTCCATCGTTCATAATTCCTCTATGCAAAGTGTGTGGTATAGTTGAAGTTTATAATGGCTTTTGAAGTTTTTGAGCTTCGAATTTTCTCACGGGCTAGACTGAAGGGCGCTTTCGATCAAGATTTTCTCAAATAGTTTGAGTTAAAGCTGGGGAACCTCCGCGTTCATCTCCAAACTTTCTCTAAAGATCCATCGTTTCAATATTGACAGTATTGTTTTTTAAATTTCACTCACGGAAAACTAAATTAAATTGAATTCTTCAGTGTGACTACTCAATAAAAAGTAATTGAACATCCATCGACTCGAGGAATTCATATTCGTTGGAACTTTCCAATTTTGCCTCTTTACATTTTGTTTATCTAGCGATTAGCACTAAAAGGTTTGATGGCTAGTAATAACAATTAGTGTGATTCGAATCTTTGCTGTGGCCACTTTTTCTCTGGCAACTTCTTATGCTACTTGAGCGTTTACCTTTCTCAGTACAATGATAGCGGTGAAAGTTTCCTGAACTTCATAACCGTCAAAGGATACGGTTCGTTTATGTGGCTGATCTCATAATTCACAATTATTTTGTAAGCGGTCTCCTTTGAAGTGCCTTCGTTTAGTGGGCTTCTTGTATGAGTGGAACGATTCACTAATTGCAGATGATGTGGTCACCGTCTAAGGATGATCTACTTAACATCCGAGTGGAAAAAGGACTAAAACCAAGACTAAAACTAAGTGATGATAAAAAGACAGTGCTGGTAAGTCGTCATACTTTGACTCATTCACAATATGACATCATGGTAGAAATGATATGCTTTATTCACCCGAACAAATGCAGGTATCAGTACCGTTGAACACTTTCGTGAACTACCCACAACAACGTGTCGAACTTCAAGGTGGATACTTCCTAGTGTTACAACGTCTTCAACAACAGTACAAGATTATTGTTCAACACGGAGTGAGTTAGAAATGGTTCAATTCAGTGAAGAAATTTGAGCCGGTGAAACTGAGAGCTAGGGAATGAATTGTTTAGTGACCGGTTATCAGTTTTCTAATGTGAAAGCCAACTAGGGAGACTCTACAGAAGAGGGCCTCTGAGTGAGGTTCTCTAATGAACAAAACAACTAACTAATCAGGGAAGCGTTGCAAACGCCCGTAAGACCTAAGTCTGTCGACAGACTTTGGAATGGCGTTTATGGATACAGAAAGTAAGGCTGCTAAATGGATTTTTCGAAATCGTGAGCAGCCAAAATTTGCTCTGACAGATAGTTCCATGCAATGAACGCACTTTGCCGCTTCATAGTGAGCGCCTCCGTAGCACAGAACCAGTGCTCTGCCTCGTCAGGCTCAGGATGTGGATTTGCTTTCACCAAGATGAGGTTTTTGCACAACGTGCTTTTTCTAAACGAGGATATTGTACCATTCTCTCATATCCATTCAAGTAAGCGACTTGTTTGGGCTATTGTTACGTTCATCGCACTTACTTGGAATGTTTCTGTCCGTACATAATTTGGGTGGCTTTTTTATGATGTATGAGGACGATAGGTTTATTTAACGATTTTGAATCCGAGGACTAGCAGCAAGTGTCTTCTATTTCACCTTGTCGAAATTTCGAGCTACCCTCATGTACCATCATGTACTGTCTTAAGACAGTTGAATCTTATTGTTAGCTGGATGGCTGTAGAGTGGCACCTTAAGGATTTCTTCATGTTGATTTTTTTGCAGATACCTATTCCGTGGCGATTTCTCCGTATTTTCCAACGTTGAAAATGAAAAGGAGTGATATAAATTATGTGTAGAAACGTTCTGTTCGAAGTAATTACGATGAGTTTGAATAATAACCTAACTAAGGCGCTCACTTTAACAAATACTTGCAAGACCTTGCCCATGGCTGGAATCAAACAAATTCTCTGTCTGATTGTGGAAAGCCCTGTGCAACTGTGCGTCACGGCATCGTTTCCTGTCGTGATGGATTTCCCCATTTCAACTGGTGCTATCTTCAGGCCTTGGAAAATATAGCTTTTTTTGAGGGAATTATTCATAAGTTTGTGAAGCTATTGTACAAAGAGGTTTTCTTAACTCTTATAACTAGGAAAAACTGAGTAAGAGGCACTACCCTGCTTCGAAATTATCTCAATCCACCTTGGCACAGGTCAAGGCCCGCCGAGAAACACGTCGAGGGTGGCGAGGAGACAAGTTGCGTACAACCTGTTCCAAACCTTTTCCAGAGCTACCTTCAAGTGAAAGGAATGCCGCGAGCTCGCTGCTTCTTTGCACCCAAGGAAGCTCTTTACCGGAAAATCAATCGGTGTGATTCGAACGGAGAGGCCACACGTCCAAGACAGCCATATTTGAAAGAATCTGCTTACACCAGACCTCAAATTATTTTGTCTTCTGAAACATTTTCTCGTTTGTATGTCTTTCCATATGAGTGATTTTTGGTAATCCTACTCATCAATCTCAAGGAAATCGACATCATCCTTGCAGTTTTCTGCAGTAATGGTGCCTGACTTAAGCACAGATGACTGCCCACGTTCTTGAAATTAGGCACAAAATTTACGGAAGTAATGCTC